ATGTACATTCACCCAACCACCTACCACCCGTCTCCTGTAACCACAGTCCACAACGAAAGGACAATAATGGGGAGAGAGAAATTCGGTTAAACTCCCAACTGAACACAGACAAGGCCATTTTGACTCACATGCGCTCGTGGGTCAATGACATATCTTATGACCTAAACACCGAACGCATTAGACCCCCCCCCCTCCAAGATATTAAGAAACTGACAACTTGTGTTTATAAATATAGGGGGAAATGACATTGGACTATGAATATATTTGAATAAATTGTCAACTATTACTTAAATATAAACTGTGTTCTATGTGTCTCTAATGAGTTTGCTTTTTGTTGTCCAATGCACTATCCCCACTGCTATTGCTAATAGGAAACAAATCATGTCATATATACGCACACTTCAATTATTTTTAAAAAAAATAAGACTTCATATACACTTTGTTACCTAATAACAATACCACAGGAAAACTGCACAAACATACAAACATACCACAGAGAATAGAAAAAGCTTAGTGTCAAGACTAAATTTAAATTTCAAAGATAATCCCATGCTATAAATAATTTTAATTCATATAAATCTTTTTGTAACATGCCTTTTGTTTGTTTTTTTACTATAAACCCTAATGATATATATATATATATATATATATATATTGTATTTATTTATATTTCTTAAACGTGCATTATGCTATTTTAATAAATTAATTCTAATAATTGATGCTATTTTAGGCAAATTATTTATCAATCGGTTCTTTGGATTTCAGTAGACAGGCATGAAATGGGATGGAGGTGTCAAATAAATTATTAAAATATTCAAATCTCGCCTTACGGTCAGAAATATCATGTCTTAAAAAGAAGGGGTTTAGAGAGCTGCACTGCCAAACTCCACAATAGAAAATCTTAATTGGAAAACTCTAACTCTATTGTAGTGCATCAATTGCCTGACGCCGCAAGATCCGCGAACACAAAGACTAACTTCGCGAAACAGTATATATTATTTTTTGTCCAGATATCCAAACAAAAATGGGTGTATTTTTTTGGCAGTATGATTAGTTGTTTAGTGTATTTACAGAATGCCATATGACCCACCGCATCCCGATGTCGTTTGGTTGACATTAAAGCTTGATTAATGTGACACGTTTACGGCGACTTGACAATCATACAGTGTCCGTTTATTTACCGAATTTCGCGTGGCCCGACTCGTTCCTCAATTCAATATGGCGGTGCTTACTAATGAGCGATATTGTTTCGTTTCTGAGTTATTGATTGAAAACCATTTAGTCAACTACTAATAAAGATCATTGGAAATAATCATGCCACTGACATGACATCTTGACATGGTCTGTTATAGTGACAACTTAACTGCCATTTCACTTGTAAGGTTGAATAGCCAAGGGGTAGCCATTTTATATTCAATGTTTGCAAACTTAAGAGCCCAAACTATCAACACGTCAATTTTCCTTTTCATCCTAATTTGATTCTTTGCTCGCATAACGCTTATTTATCATAAAGTCATTGATGGCCATCTTCTACCGAACAATGTCCTCGCGACCTTATGGCTAATACTGAATGGTTATGACACTTAAGAGACTCAATATTTGCCCTGACCTTCCTGAGTTTTACAAATATATTTGTTATAAGGCGCGAGTAGAGGGCAAAAACACCTGCGTAGTGTATATGACCACGATGTTTCTGATACGTTTTATCTGATCGAATTGTGGTCAAAAAAGCCTCAAAAGAAATAGTAAAGAAAAGTCAAGAAGCGAGTGAATAAAAACCACAACAATATAATCAAACGAAACGAACAACAGAAATCCCGACATTTCTTTAACATAATTCATACAGAGAGGCACTCTATAATGTTATATATTAGATTTGGAAATATAAAATGCTATTGTAAAAATTGAAATATGTAAATCTGAAAGTCAGTTGGTGGACATTGCCGATTTCGGCATTCACCAGATTATAATTAGAGTATCGCGCTTTTAAAAAGGGATATTAGCACATGGTCCACGAAAGGTCAATCGTGTAAGTCTTTCTTAAAGTGTAAAAGACTCAGAAGCAATTTTTTAATCCTAATTCGAACATGCCAGAATCTGTTCACCGTTCACATTACTTGTAGTATGTGTGCTGTGTACGTAGACTATAATTTTAGTTATACGTATAAGGGATTCGCGCCCTTTTATTTAAAAAATCTTTTCTGGATTTGTCAACAAAAATTATTAAAGGGAATTACGATATTAATTTAAAATACATTTCTTGCACACAAAAACAAATGACATACACGTGGCCTCAAAGCCTGTTCAACTATTTAAAATTAACTATTTATAGATAATACTTAGACCCTGTCCCAATAACCCACAAAGTGACTGAGACAAGAACAAAATAGAAGGCGTTTTGAATGTTTGACACTAACAACCCATTTCCGTTTAATTCAGTTCTCTAAATTGCACTCAATAAAAAACATTTGGGTTAATAATTAGTAGTCTCATCGGCAATCTTTAGCAATGGCAAAATGGACAACCATTCCAAGAATTCTCATTTTCACAGGAGAGAGACAGAGGTGGGGTTTAACGTTCACAGGACACAAACTATGTCATTTCGGGACTAACATATGGTTCGATTCTTTTCTCAATAGTTCGCTTGCGCGAAGGGTCTTTAACCGTCGGAGGGAAACCGGTGGATGGCATTTGCAATTCGAATAAGAAATGAAATGAAATGGGGTTTAACGTCCTACTGTTTTGCTCCGAACTATGCTAATGAAGACGGGCATACGCCATACAGTGTGCACTACGGCCTACTCTTATATCGAATTCCAACTGTCAAGGGATCTTTTACGTGCACGCAAATGTGTACACGGGACCTCGGTTTTTCGTCCCATCCGAACGACTAGACAGCTGTCCTTGTCAGGCCCTCCGTCCTGCATGACTGACAAGGGTGAACCACGCCGGGAAATCTGGATGTGCTTTCTCGGCCAATGCAGGGATCGAACACCCGACCTCCAGGCTAGCGAGCCAGCGTCTTACCAACTTAGCCACCGTGACCCCAAATCGAATAAGCGTAAGCAGAAACGTCAATGACCGAACAAGCTTCTATCAACCCCTATTAATTTTATTATACAATATTTCTAATTCGATGTTTCTCAGTTTGAATGATTTAAATGTCAACGTCGTTAGTTGTCGAACAATAAGAAGGGAAGCTGTTGTGTTATTTCGCGTAATGTACTGGTTAAGGAACACCTCATTCCATTGTACCTTTAAATAACTGGACCGGGAACTTTGCTTCGAGGTTTCTTTCAACACAGAAGCATTGGTTCCTAAAATCCATATTAAACTATGCGTAGCGAAGGCGTGATGCCTACTCTTTCTTAACCACCCAATAACACTTCTCGGTTATCTGATCCCATAGTTAAGAATTTCTGTTGCATATTTCACTACTAGTATACTACAGAAAGTTAAACCCCATTTCACGTGCATATCATTAACAAATGAAATGAAATGAAATGGGGTTTAACGTCCTACTGTTCTGCTCCTATGCTGGGCTAATGAAGACGGGCATACGCTATACAGTGTGCTATGAGGGAAATTTTGCCCGGGCAGCGGCACTATCGCCTACTCTTATATCGAATTCCAACTGCCAAGGGATCTTTTACGTGCATTTTAATGTATATACGGGACCTCGTTTTTTCTTCTCATCCGAAGGACTAGACAGGCTCCCCGTCCTGCATCACTAACAGGGGGGAACCAAACCGGAAAATCTCGATGAACTTTCTCGGCCAATAAGTGTGAACTTATATACTTCGCCAACCACTTCGTCTTTCCTATATTTGTCTTAGTGGGAGCAAAAACTTTGACTTTAATCGTCTTTTTATTTATATTTCCAATCAGATGTGTGCAGAGAGTGGGAAAAGTGGGGCGGGGCGGGGGGGGGGGGGCGATAGACCCCGGTCATACATTTCAGGGGGAGGGTAAGGGCATCCAATCAAACAGTGTAATTAATTTTTTTTTTTTTTTTTTTTTTTAAATTTGAATATCGCTATTAATAAGCTGCCCTGCTTTGATCGGTTTTGACATATTTAAAAAAAGTCTTCATTTCTCACATTTCTCAGTACTAGCCCCTATACTTGAGTCTTGAGGCGTGCAATGAAGGAGTTAGCCTCAAGCATCACCAATCCTCTGTAAGGCCGAAGACCACTTTCGATCAGATTTTCGCCCAACTAACCGTACTGGACAATCGTTCGATTTTCCCGCGAAATTTTAAATGGAAAGTTTTGTTTTTTGTTTGAAAATTCTTAAAAGAATAAAACGTATAAGTGCCGCTGTTGTGCACAATTTTCCTCTTCGTTGCACGCTCAACAAAAGGGGGCGAAATGGCCATATGTCTGACCCAGTGAAGAAATCATAAAACGCCATTACTTTCATTTTTAAACCCTGTCAACCAGAAGTTATGGTAATGAAATATACAGTTCTAGAACTTAAGAAAAGCTGCATTCAGAAACTCGAGTGTTCTTCTATTCGACAACAATTTGCGAAAATTGAAGGCGTTCATTATTCTACACGGTTGTTGTATATTGGCCCGAGTAACCCATTTACCCTTGAAATCACTTTTGTGGGATAAGCTCTTGTCGAATGACCATCTCTGAACTATTGTGTAACCATTCATAACTTTATGATTGAACACAACGCCTTTTATGTGGCTGCGTGCGGATTAAACAGTTAATCTGGGATTTGCCCCCTTGATCCCCAGATCGATTTCAACCACTGTTAGCTGAGAAAATGAAATCGTATTGTGTAGCAGATTGCGGTTAAATTTTTTTCGGTTACTTCGTAATATTTGAGGACCACCATCAATTCAATCACGCTTCTACCACCAGATTAGGATTAAGAAAAAATCGAATGCCATACAAAATATTGGCACGTGATTCCACAATATCTTTGTTCTTCTTTCACTTTATTTATTTAAGCTTGACGGACTGGGTTACACTGATCTTTGTTTTTTTTAATATTAACCGAGAACATGTTGTTTTGAGTACACTTGATATTTTTATTTAAAGTGACGGTCTTTCAGTAAAACAAATATTGATTTTTTTTCTCCCAGATATTAGATGCAAGGGAGGATCTCTAATTTTTTTTAAAACTGTTAATTAAATTGCACACTATGCATTTCTAAAATTCAAACATTTCACGTTTATAAATTAGGTCAGACTGTTCTCTATTCTCGAAGGATGTTATTTTTATTAGCCGGGAACATGTTGTTTGAAAACACTTCAGTTTAAAGTGATAGTCCTTCTGAAAAGATATAATCAAAAAATGGTTTTATTTTTTTTTAAAAAATAATAAATAAATAAAAATATGCAATGTCGTTTGACATTTTTTTTTAAAACATCAACTTTATGAATTAACCTAGACGCTATGTACGTTTAAATGTTGAAACATTATTTTAAAGGGACAATAACACTCTTGCTGTCTTGAAAGCTCCAGAAAATAAATAATATCTCTATCTAAGTACTAGATGTTTAAGTGTCCTAATGTTGTGTAAATTATCGATTACATCCTATTTTACTTGTCCAGAGGGTTCGAAAATATTTTTAAATCGAAGTTTCATTTGAAAAGGTTTACGTTAGACGTTTCAAACCATTATGTTGAATTTTTCAAAATTTTTAAATAAGGTGTGTTAAGATGAAATTTGTATCATCAATTAATTGAAATATTCTAAAATAGTACAATTTGTTGACCAGAATAAAAATTGAGACACATTATTCATTTACAACAAGAGTGGTATTGAGCCTTTAAGGAGCAGGTACATTCAATATCCAAACGTGTGGTTAGCCTGCTCTTGTGTGTATATATTTGTTAATTAATCGCGAACGGGGTTTCTTGAGTGCACAAACGTTACTTGAGTAGGCAGAGTTCACTATAAATTTGACAGTACCCCTGAAAAGATAAATATGAAAGAAAATACACTGTAGAAGAGAGGACGTGGGATATTGGATAAAATCGACAATTACTCGCGCAATTTTAGGCATACGATCCACAGGATCAAATCAATATCTGCATTAATATAATATCTAAGATATGTGGGGCGCAGTTTTAGACCACCTGCACCCACCCCAGCAATACAATATTAAGAACACAGGTGCCTCTTTCAAATATATTTTTTTTAAATATTTTTCATATACTGCATTATGCACAGAAAAACCTAAATATCAGAGGTGTTTTCATAATAATACACAGGTAGAATCTATTATACATGTATTTACATGTATATTATACCCGTTTGAAATGGTTATACGCTTTCAAATATACGGAACACGTGGACATGCCTTTACTGTTATACACACTTTCGTTGAACGTTTTGTTATGCTTATACGCATTCCAATATACGGAAATGCGAGTAAGCTTTTACTATTATACACATCCATTTTCTACACAGTTTTATTCAGGATATATACAAAGTTGTCTGAAGCTGTGTATAAGCTTCAAATAAAGTTTTCAGTTTCATTATCATATTATGAATATGTGTAGTGCTCATATACATAAATTGTACTACACATTATTATGATTTTGCTTTCAGTTTTATTATCATTATATATTATATGTGTAGCGTTCATAAATTTCACTACACAATAATGTATTCATATGTATATTTCATCAGTGTATATTATGTTTCAACAATTATACATACTCGTATTTACGAACAGTTGTCTGTAACTATGTATAAACTTCATATACAGTTTTCAGTGTTATTATCATAGTATATTTGTGTAATGTCCATAACATAAATTACATAATTTCGACTCTATATTAATGGTAAACAGTTACACATATTCGTATATACAGACAGTTTTATTATTTATACACAATTATACACAGTTCAAAATACACATATCAATTTGCTATAAACACTTTATCTAAAACAATGTGGTCTTAAATTTTGAAAAACATTCATTTTCGAGTTTATTTTTATTTACAGAAAAAAGACTTTTGAATTTGTCAATTCTAATCTTCGGATATCTTTTGGAGACCAGTAATTTGCTCTTTTCCGGATTGTTTTCTTCTTCAAATGGATCAAAGCGGTTGACTTATTAAATTTGTAATCAAAATTTGGGCTTAATTTTCTCAGTTTTTGTTGAATGAAAGATTTTCTTTGGTACAACTGAGAGCATCCCATATTCTCCTGTCCTCGGGTTTCTAAATGTATTACTAATTATATAAATCATATGCCCACTCTGTAACCACTTGTACGTACCTGAATTTAAATGAAATTTCTAAATTTCATTTAAAATATTAAGCATTCGCATTCGAAAAATTCTTAATAAGAACTAAAATATAATTTTAAAATCTGATTCTAAAATATAAATATCTAATAAGATATTACCGTTTCTTTACAAATGATCAAATAAACCATGTTTGTTCTATTGTCACAGGAATTTCTATTGTCACAGGAATATGTTCAATGTTAGGATTAATATTCCTTGCTATTTTATACGCTTTGATGTTAACTTTTCCAATTTTCATACGCATCTTCAGCTTCAATCATGGTTTGACATTCTGTTAATATATTTTTTTTCCTTTCTGTTATTTCAAAGATATTATTTTAATATTTGCACATCAATACCGGTTTAGTTTTTAATGCGTATTCTATGGATTTACATATAGATTTTTTACCTGCAGCAGACTGCACTGTGTCGGTTCGATCAAAGACTACAGTGCTAGATTTCCCGTTAGGTAAACTGCAAATGAAATGCATAGAAAAAATTATTAAGGAGTCAAGAAGTGGCAGAAACGAGAACGGGTTATCCGATATAAAAGCAAACAAGATTTAATAAATTCAAGCGTTATCTTAGTTGTATAAAGGACTATTATTATACCCGATCCACGAACTCTAATCTTCACTCGCGTATTGATCATTTGGCGCGGACGACAGGTTGACGCTTCGTTCTGTCTGTGAATATACTTCTACCTGTGTAGCCCCTGTCAGTAGGCGTGACCTAGCATACATAGGTCACCCATCTTCATACAATAGTGCCGGTGTTAAAACCAACTCATCCATGACGCCCTGCAAACACGAGTCGTACCTTTGAAGCTGTCAATCACTAGACCACACCCTGCGGTCGTCGATCCGTGCCTCGCACGTGCCATTTTACGTCAATCAAAAGGTGTTGCTCAGGTAACGATTGTCAAGGTTCAGAAACGCCGTTTAATTTTTGTGATTCGGAAAGGTATAAATCAGGTAGCGGATGGAGACGGAAATCAGAAGTAATCGCCTAAGCTAACAGGAAGGATATCATCTTGTTGAATATTTCCGCTACCAGACGATACCTGAACAGCAGACGTACCTCATCCAGTAAAGAGAGAAATTTTCTACAGGTACATTTTTCGTTTTAAAGTTTCCCTAAAGAGACGCCTCAATTTATTGTGTCTTTTTCAAAGTTTTGGAAGATGTGCAGAGTTTAGCAGTTGTCAGAAAAAACTTCAGATAATATTTAGTATTAGCGTTATAGACTCAAGGTTGAACTTTTACCAGTCATCATGTATGCAAATACGTACGCCACTGAGATTCCAGCCACTTCAGCAGATTGGTCAACTGATATGAGCAGTTATCTTACGGAACTCATCCCAGCAGTGTCTTTTCCAGAACCCGCTCCTACTAATATGTACAACGAAACCAGCCATTTTGACAGCATGAATTTTTTTCCTGAACAAGTTATGGGAATGAACGTGCATTCGGTTTCCCCTTCCTTCAGTGAAGTGTCATCGGATAAATCAGATTCCGGTTGCTATAGTGACGATTCAAATTCCATGTCAGGTGGCTGGGGTTCCCAGAGTTACGGAGCGTGCAATCAAATGCAAGACTCTTTCGATCAGGGATTTGCGATGTCATTTGGGCAGTATCCATCTTCGTCAGGCACTATTACTCAAGCACAAGCACCCAAGAAACGTCGACGACGAAAGCAGACTCCCGTACAGAGAGGGGCAGCCAACTTGAGAGAAAGGAAGAGGATGTTCTACTTAAATGATGCTTTCGATGACCTGAAGAAATCTCTGCCTAAAAAGGACAATAAATCCAGATTATCAAGGATAGATACTTTAAAAACCGCCATTGATTACATTCAGAGTTTGTCAGAGTTACTTAAAATTGTGTGAAGCAAGCAGGTTCGATGCAAAAGTTTGTATTTTCCAAAAAAAAAACAACTTGTACTTTTACTAAGACATTGATATTAGTTTTCATTCAGCGAATTCGAAAGGGCGTCTTCCAGTGCCTAATGAGGCAGAAAAAGCGAAAGGTGTTAAAATAAGCTCCTTGATGAATGAGCTAGGACGATAGGGGATGAACATCAATTGTGCGATCGAAAAGAACAAAACCAGCAAAATACATCGTGTGGACTTTACGTTTTTCTCTCATAGAAAAGAGAACAGGTAAACGATATTAAGGATTTTTAATAAGTGGTGCTTTGAGCAGATGAAGTTGACGTGTGGCTGTAGAACTATTTATTGTGTGCGCGAGTGCAGATATGAGTGCTGCGATTGTTGCTTGTGACAAACTTTTTTTTGTTGTTGTGTGCTTAGAGTCGATTCACAAGACAATTGTGTTTTAATTAAACCTTTGCAATATTTATTAAATTGAATATTATTATTAACGGAAAAATCATTAGAGTTAAAATCAATGCAATCTTTATTATATATTTCTATCCCATCCACGATTTATTCAAGTTTTTAATTAACTTAGATTATACTTAAACCAACATTTTTCTATTTGCAAATTTGAATATATCATAAAATGATTAAGCAGATTTTACTTTAATATTGAAAACTTAAGGAGCATTTTGTACTGTAATTTGTTTTTTGTCTCAATTATGCTTCCATAATTATACGTGTCTTATAAAGTATGTATGCATTGTTATTACCGTATATTTCATAATTAGATATGCATTATTGTTTTTATTGCATGTCATAATTTTATGTGCCTTATAAAACATACGTGCATCATTATTATTATTCTTGCATATCATAATTACATGTGCCTTGTATAACATACGTGCATTATTATTACTATTGCATGTCATAATTTTGTGTGCCTTATAAAACATACATGCATCATTATTATTATTGCATGGCATAATTATATTAAGAACTAGTTTGTGAATATTACAGAGGCCTTTAATTAATGTGTGTGTTCCAAACTTTAAGTACATTTTACCTGACACGATCTCGATATTATAGTCACTTATTTATATGCAATTCGAGGAGGTTTTTTTTTATTTTTAAAAACCTTCATTTTTTACAACTGTTAAATTATTTAAAAATGTTTATAAAAAAAATAAAATTTGAATCAAAAATATTTTATGTGGTTTGTTTTATTACAATGCTGATAAGATTGAACTGGGGAATCTTCAACGGCGAATGTGTCTTTGTACGGGCAAGCATGTGGCACCGACATAGTACAAAATTGGCAGAGGAAAATGGGAGGGTAGTGTAACGTAAACTAAAGGTGGTAGCATTATCGCCTTTCTCTCAGAATTGATATTTGCTCATTGACTCATATTTCATGAACTTGGGGGTCCATGGGATTTTCCAGTGTGGTGTCCCCTTTTCATTAGTTCAGTACGGCAAGCCTGACTAGGAACAACGTCTAGTAGTTCGGATGGGACGAAAAACCGAGGTCCCGGCTACATGTTGACGTGCAGATAAAAGAGCGCTTGACAGTTGGAATTCGAAACAAGAATAGGTCGTAGCGCCACCCTCCGGATACATTGTTCCCCACAGCATACTGCATGGCACATGCCTGTATTAATTTGGTGCAGGGAGCCAAGGTGGCTAAGTGAGTAAGACGTTGGCTAGCTAGCCTGGAGGTCGTGGGTTCGCTCCCGGTTTTGGCCGATAAAGTTCATCGGGATTGACAAGGTTCCGCCTTGTCAGCGGTGCATTACGGAGGGCCTGACTTAGAAAGCTGTCTTGTCGTTTGGATGGTACGAAAAACACATTGGTGTGCACTTAAAAGATCCCTTGGCAGTTAATATTTGATATGAGTTGGTTGTAGCGCCGCTGTCCGGGTACAATTTTCCTCATAGCACACTGTATGGCGTATGCCGGTCCGTCTTCATTAGCCCAGTCGGGGCAGAAAAGTAGGATGTTAGACCCCATTTCATTTTATTTGGTGCGGAAAGTAAGACATTATAACTTCTATCATTGCATCCGTTGGTCTCGCCTCCATCGCAGGATTACTACTCTAAGATAAAACCCTGCGCTATCCTATCAATACTCAATTACTTCTTGGTGAAATGGGCTGCCATATCCTAATAACTACGAACCCCCGCTAGTGTTCTGCCCTGGACCAGTTGCGAGGCTTACCGTAGTTCAGATCATTTCAAGCAATATACAGTTTGCCACTACCCGGCCAAAATCCCAGCACCTAGCCGTCTACGGATCTGCATATAAGCATTAAAATGGAAGCATGAATCTAAAAGAGCGCCCGATCGTCTAATGATGAGTACCGAAAACACACCGCACCATCCAAACTAATCTTTGTTTTTGTTTTGTTAAGCGAAGAAACGGTCCCAGTTACCCTTTCAAAACAGCAATATAAAGGTGCTTTGTTGAAAATTGTGTCACTTTTGCGAAATATATCCAGTAGTAATATTCGATTTTAATCAGATTTAGATATTCATATTTGCATGTTAAAACCTTTAGCGGTATAAAAACTTTAGTTGCAAAACGTTCTGTTTAATGGTGACAAAGTTTCTGGTCTTAGTGATATTTTATAGAAACTTCAGGTATAATACGTGGGACTGAATTTCACTGCAACACCCGTTTGCAAAGTCTCGAAAGAAATCCGCATTTAATGAAAGAAAATTGACACCCCCTGCTCTGAGGATTCAATAAATTTACTTTCAGCATCATGCAATATTAACTGGATTACAAATTGAACAATTCAAAAATAAGACCTTGTATTCAAACATCTTCATTCATTGACTTGAAATTTACAGATGTTCTAAAGTTAAGCAGTTATTAGTATTAAGGGGAGGTGAAAGCTCCATACCACCTTGACACTAATACCTAATTATTCAATGCTCTAAGTTCATTACCTGCGTGAGGTTCGGCGTATCGTATGCATCTGAAGGTATTTAATACCGATACTGTCCTGAAGAAAATAATGCTATTTTAGGCAATATTAGATAAATGAAATTTCTTGACACGGGTGTTTTCCAATAGACTTAAGTTAATTAAAAGACATTAGTGTCTCTATAGGTTATTTCGTGTCAAATTTATCCATCATGGTATGGGAATATTAAATTTAAATTTTGCACTGGTCCATGCCAATTTTAAATTAGTGGTAGAGAATTCGGTATAACGTCTAATATGAAATGAATTGAGTTTCGTGTCAAATGCCAGTGCTTGAATCTCAAATTATAATATTAATAAGCAATATATATAGGTGTTATAATTTGGCTGTTGGATTATTTATGATATTGTTAAAAGATGTATCAAATCTGTATTATAAACAGTTTTCGCATCAAAATTAAGACATTATTGTTTTGGGTTTTATCGCTTTAAAGAAGTATTAGTATATTTTTTTTTATGCAAAAGAATAATATGTCAATAATAATAAAATCTAAAATAGTTTTTATCGTTTGAGCGAACTTTTTATATAGTAATAGCATATGTCAACAGTTTTTCCGCCGTTCTTTAATCGTAGTTTCCATAGTGATATGAGCGTGTCCAACCAAAATGTACATAAAAAAGGGAATATAATTCAACATTTCTGCATTTGTCAAAGTAAGAGTATATTTTTAACCGTGGTCCGCAAAGATAAAAAATGACCGTTTCAATCAAATCAGATAATTTATAAAAGGGAAAATAGTTCTAAGATCGACAAAGTAAATGTTACCTTTTCATTAAAACCCAACGCACAGTTACAAATGAACTTTCCAATCAAATCACATAATTGTACAGGGAATTAAGAATTACGATCGACAAAGTAAGAGCGTACCTTTAACCGTAGTTCGCTTAGTTAGAAATGAACTTTCAAATCAAATCAGACAACTAAATCGGGACCACGGTTGTTTTATGATCGCCAAAGTAAGCGGGTC